TTTAAATTAATTAAAATTAAGAGATTTCGAGTTGTTTGGATCATTTGTGTTATCAATCTTCGTTTGTTTATACGACCCACACACGGCAGAGGCATGCAGAGGTACCTCGCCGGCACGCCGGGTCAAAAGTGTGGCCACCGCCGGACGGAGAAAATGGGCGCCATTTTGAGATGGGCCAAGCGGCGCGCGTTTAAATGGGAGCCCAAAATACGGACTTTTGGACTCGTATTTCGTGGGTTAATCTTGCTCAAAAAAATCGGGGAAAATTCCTGTGAACTCTGTGCACTCTCTAGTTTCCAAAAATGCAAGAATTACGAATTGCTGAACAAGCTCATTAAACCCATGAAAAAAGATCGATTATCAGGGTGTTCGCAGCGAACACCTTAGTAATCGATTATTTACCATAGCTTCAAATGGCGAGATATCGATAATCGATTATTCACGCCACGCCACTGGAAATTAATAAAAATTACGCGCAATTCACAGGGTGGCTGGCCGAATTTCCCTGGCCCGAAGGATTGCCCGCTTTTCACTTCCATTTTCCCGAAAATTCGCCATATTTCCTGCGATTTCGTACAAATCAGTGCGTGAATGATCGATTTCCGATATTCCCCCATCGGTAGATATGGCAAAGAATCGATTATTTAGGCGTTCAATGCGAACACCCTGCTTATCGATCTTTTTCAATGGTTTTAAACGGCAGATCAATCGATGCATCGCACAGCGCACCAAGCCACTGGTCGGAGCAGCTAAAGTAGGCAAGTCAAACGTTGGAAAAAGCTCACTTCCGAAAAGATGGGCGTTACTGCTCTCGGGTAACACGGCAGCTTTTGATTGGTCGCGCTAAACAGGTCTTCATCGAGCTCTTTACGGTCATAGGTAAATAAACAAGCAGGAAGCTCCAACGCATTCGCGTCGGAGAGCGGCTCTGGCGACAGTAGTTGTAGTCAAGAATGAGGGCCTAGACACATTTTGTCACTGATGTACAATCCGACAACTGTCGATTCATGTTTTGTCACTTAGCAGATTTACGTAGCCGGTGTATTGGCCCTTGATATGCAGAATGCACATCACATGGCACTATCACTTGTTGTATACTTTTAATTTTGAAGGCTCTTTGGAGGTCCGCATCCTAAAAAATTTCTCCCACAGTATTTTTTTTAAACTTGTCGTTGTGATTGGGCGCCAATTTCTTTCAATTGAGTGATCATCTTTTTTGTCAAATAACTAGTTTGTGCAACAATAAGACTGAAACTGACTGTAACTGAAATTTTGTCTTTTTAGATATTTGGTTATTTTGTATTTATTATAGTCCACGCCACGAAAAGTGGCGGCTGAGGGGCGGAGCCAGTCGGCCGGTCCAGTCCTATTGTTGAGGGGTTGAAGCGCAGGTATAGGCCCAGTCATTACCCCAGACACGCGTCGAGCGACGGCCGGCCAGGGTGAGTACACACTGAGCGCACCTTGATCTCGGCGCCCGGGGTGGCATCCAGCGCGACGCATCGCGCCGCGTATTCTCCCCAATTAGTGTGTCTCCCGAAAATCCCGGGCGCCGGGTTCAAGGTTCAGTGTGAACTCACCCCGGCCGGTTGTCGCTCAACCACGGGCCAATATCTGCGCTTCAACCCTTCAACAATAGACTGGACCGGCCGACTGGCTCCGCCCCTCAGCCGCCACACTTCGTGGCGTGGACTATAGATTGTATATTTTCACAGCCCTGTGATAAGAAACTTTGGAATGCATGGTTGATAAGTCGTTTAGCGAGGCTGCAAAAAATTTGCATTTTTATATCTGAAATTGTAGGTAATGGTTTTGAATATCGAATTGCGATATATTACACGGTTAAGATAGGGCTATATGTCTTGTCGTAAGCGGCGACATAGAGTCGATGTCATTTCAATAATCGCCTCGATGGCCACGGTAGTTGTGTGCCGTCTGCCCACGTAGCAAATGGGAGGCGAAAATGGAAGTCATCAGTGCATCGGTGAGTGTTGAACGTGAAAATTGCGCGGGCCGCGCAAATTTCGCGATCATCGATGTGTCGGGGCTGAGCATCCATCATTTTCTATCTTGTTTTGAAGCTATGTGAGTTGTGATAAAGTACATAATTTTTTTGTATTATATTACTGTATAAATAGTGTAAAATTTGTACAGAACTTTGTACAAAATAGTTTCTTGTGAAAAGTGTGGACTACTGCCACGTCGTTTCCATACAAACTCCCAATACGCCGCAAGTACCACAAATGCCCATGTTAACCAAATCACCTCATCATCCATTTTTTAAGGACACAATTTTTAATTCAAATCAACTTACTTTATCAAAACTCCAATCGTTTATCAAATAACATATATCGAGTCATTTTAACAAAATCAAAGACGGCATAATATCATTTATCACACAGCCAAAAACCTAACATAGAAACCACGATGTTTACAAACTCAAATTGGAGAACACTCATTGGTCCAATAATAAAAATTGATTTGCCGCCTTTTTTCTTTGCAAGCAAAACGTGTGAACATGTCTGAAAATGGGATCGGGCGTCAACACTCAACGATGCACTGATGACTTCCATTTTCGCCTCCCATTTGCTACGTGGGCAGACGGCATTAGACGTTTACGGTTTCCTTGGTAACCTTTGTTTGCTATCAGCTGATATCGAGTAATATGACTAGGAAGCTCCAACCCAGTGGTTGGAGCTTCCTTAACCGCGAAAACTTTAAAACTCAAATTTTCAAATTTTGAACGTAAAGTACATTTTTTCCATCACGAGATTAAAGCACAGACAAGTTTTGAATTATTGACTGTATCACCATGATTCCAAAAATACACTACACAACATAGCATTGGCTAACAATAAAACAATATGCAATAAAATAAAGTCAGGACAAGGAACATAGCCGAAAATGGCGCCGATTCCCATTAACCAACGCGCGGTCTCTCCAATGTAACATGGTCCAATGATACTCCCCAGCTGGGACCGTCCGGAATAGCAGCTCTAGTGCAAGCACCAGAGCTGCTAATACTCTGACTCATTCGAAACAGTGAACGGCACATATCCGAAAAGAGAGGGTCAATAATAACAGCGCAGATTGAGTTCATTTGTGATAAAACTAGTGACAGTGGGTTTGGAAGCCTTTCGACCGAAGGGAGCCGGGAGCGTTCGTCAACTTATGGCCGTAAAGCGTAAATTGACCAATCAAGAAGCAGCAAAATATTCCTGTGCTAAGAAATAAATGACCAGTCCATCCCTACATAGGTACAAAAGGATGAAACTCATCCTTTCAATCGCCTTTTGAGAAAAGAAGAAAAAATCGTTTTCCTTCGGAAAATACACTACGACAACTTCTCATGTTGAACTTGTATATCGGTAATATTACGATACACTCTGTTAAACAGCTTTATTAAAAAGAATTTAAGGTATGGTGTATTAATTTCGGTTTGAATGATTACATTTTCACCCTGATCCAGAGGCCATCCAGCTCCTGCATTGGAGTGGGAATGTCAGACGGCTAAAGAGGCGTAAGCCACATGAGCTGACCTCAGCTCTGTTTCATCGAAAAGTAATCGTGTCATCCTAATCTAGCCAGTCTACGCTAACTGAAGGAATTAGAATATTCCTAAGCATGAGGTACATATTATTAAAGGGTGTTCTTTTCATTGTTATGTATGTACATAGTTGTCCCACTAATAATTGTAAGTTTCCCCCGTTTACCATAGTTACAATAATTCTTCTGTCCTTCTATATCTTGTTTCGAGTTCCTATTTCAAAATCTTCAAAATTTCCTGGATTTGACTTGTAAAGTAAAACGTTTATTCACCGTTCACAACAGCAATTTAAAGCTGGCAAAATAAGTGAAATCTTCAGCGTCTTAAAATCTTAGTGGAACCATTGGTTACATTTAATTATTTCATGTTAAAAAAGACTACGGCAGGCTAGAAATAAGTATGTATGTAAATTTTTTCAATTATTACTTTACAATAAAAAAATAAATAAAAAATTTTAATGATACGAGAAGTGTTCAATAAATAAAGGGCCATTTTAAATTAATATATTTTATTACTAAAGAGTTCTTATTTCAAGACACTATTTTGGAAAGAAAATACCAATAACCATTGACAAATTATTTACTAAACTGAATGGATTTCCATTTGAATGATGATACGAGATGTGTTCGTTAAATAAAGGGCCGTTTTATATTGATAAGTTTTATTTCATAGATTTAATTTCAAGACACTATTCTGAAAAGAAGACACAATTTAACATTTCAAAATAGTTCAAAAGACTGCCTGGATTTGGCAGTGATGAAAGGGTATGCTTCAGCGAGTGTTTTGGAGTTCACTATAAGGCGTTTGAAAGGGAGCGACGCAGAGCATGGACAAGTTTTTAACGTGCGTACGTTAACGCGCAGAGTACGTACGTTAACGCGCAGAGTACGTTAACGTACAGAGCATGGACAAGTTTTTAACGTGCGTACGTTTAACGTTTTTAAGTTTTTAATGTGCTTTCGGATTAGTCGCATAAAATTGACGAAGGGAGCAAAAGACGAAGATCATAGACTGGAGCTGAATTATTTTTCAACGGAGTGCTTCCGATGCTTGTCACATACTTTTTTAGCAAAATACATTTTCTTAAAGTCAAAAATATTTGTTACATTTTATTTCATATGAAATGAATGAAATGATAAAATATATCAAACTGATCATAGAAACAAAACGAATGAATTTTCAAGAAATTAGTTGAATTCAAAAAAATACATCAATAATTCGTGGTTACAATTTACAATGATTCAACCTAGATACAGCGATGACTGTAACTAGGGTTTCTCGCCGGTCTGCTTTTGGATATGTAGCTTCAAACACTGTCTGTCACTGAAAGAGGAAGAGCAATGACTGCACCTGAAAGGTTTCTCGCAAGAATGCGTTCGGATACGTACCGTCAAACGATCTATGCGGCTAACAGAAGAAGAGCAAAGACTGCAGCTGAAAGGTTCCTCGCCAGTATGCGTTCGAATATGTTCATTCAATTTGTCTTTTTGGCTAAAAGAGGAAGAGAAATGACTGCAGCTGAAAGGTTTCTCGCCAGAATGCGACCGGATATGTCACATTAAATTGGGTATTTGGCTAAAAGAGGAAGAGCAATGACTGCAGCTGAAAGGTTTCTCGCCAGAATGCGACCGGATATGTCGCTTTCAATTGGGAATTTGGCTACAAGAGGAGGAGCAATGACTGCAAATGAATGGTTTCTCGACGTATGAGTTCGAATATGTTCATTTAAAGCATTTCTATGTCTAAAAGAGGAAGAGCAATGACTACAGCTGAAAGGTTTCTCGCCAGTATGCGTTCGAATATGTAGATTTAAATCGTGTTTCCGGCTAAAAGAGGAGGAGCAATGTCTGGAGCTGAAAGCTTTCTCGCCGGTATGCGTTCGAATATGCTCCTTTAAAGCATTTCTATGTCTAAAAGAGGAAGAGCAATGACTACAGCTAAAAGGTTTCTTGCCAGTCTGCTTTCGAATATGTAGATTCAAATCCTGTTTTCGGATAAAAGAGGAAGAGCAATGTTTGGAGCTGACAGCTTTCTCGCCGTATGCGTTAGAATATGCTCCTTTAAAGCATTTCTATGTCTAAAAGAGGATGAGCAATGACTGCAGCTGAAAGTTTTCTCGCCTCTGTGTGTTCGGATATGCTCCTTTAAAGCATTTTTTTGACTAAAACAGGAAGAGCAATGACTGCAGCTGAAAGGTTTCTCGCCAGTATGCGTTCGGATATGCACCTTCAAATGATCTTTGCGGTTAAAAGAAGAAGAGCAATGACTGCAGCTGAAAGGTTTCTCGCCAGTATGCGTTCGGATATGCTCCTTTAAAGAATTTCTATGTCTAAAAGAGGAAGAGCAATGACTACAGCTGAAAGGTTTCTCGCCGGTGTGCGTTCGGATATGCACCTTCAAATACTCTTTGCGGCTAAAAGAAGAAGAGCAATGACTGCAGCTGAAAGGTTTCTCGCCAGTATGCGTTCGAATATGCTCGTTTAAAGCATTTCTATGTCTAAAAGAGGAAGAGCAATGACTACAGCTGAAAGGTTTCTCGCCGGTGTGCGTTTGGATATGCACCTTCAAATAATTTTTGCGGCTAAAAGAAGAAGAGCAATGACTGCAGCTGAAAGGTTTCTCGCCGGTATGCGTTCGAATATGTAGATTTAAATCGTGTTTCCGGCTAAAAGAGGAAGAGCAATGACTGCAGCTAAAAGGTTTCTCGCCGGTATGCGTTCGAATATGTTCATTTAAATGGTGTTTTTGCCTAAAGGAGGTAGAGCAATGACTGCACCTGAAAGGTTTCTCGCCAGTATGCTTTCGGATATGTAGCTTTAAATTATGTTTTCGATTAAAAGAGGAAGAGCAATGACTGCAAATGAAAGGTTGCTTGCTGTGATGCGTCCGCATACGTTGTTTTGGAAGGTTTTCACACGATGGAGGTATAGAACGTTGGGTGATTTTGACTGGTTTGTAACGGATTTCAGTTCTTTCGGTCGGAAATACTTTCCATTCAATAGGAGGCTCGTTGAACTGTTTGCTTTTACATGCTTTTTCATTAGATTCCAGGTTAATTCCGTGGAGATCTTGCAGTTGGTGGGGAGGTTGACCATTAATGCAACCACTTCCAGCAGTTGGAGTCAGTGAAACATGTTTCAAAGTATGAGGCGAACCCTTTCCGGAATCTTTTGCGCTGTCTTTTTCTGGGCATTCCGATTGGTCGGATTGCGAAGTGTCTTCTTCCTTAATTTCAATGCTTGTATGCAACAAGTCGGTTAAACTTTCGTCCACTTCGAATTTTACGCGAGCGGAAAGACCGAACAAAGAATCGCCTTGGAGCGGTCCGGGTGAGAGAACGCCACCACATGAATAAGATCCGTTCTCTCTTTTTACACGCTGGGGGACAAGATCGGCGTGGTCATCGCCAAATGCCGATTTCGTATCCGACACTGATGATTCATGCTTCAAAGTACCTGCGTACGTTACTTCGGGGACGTTATCCGGATCCATCACGCGTGGTATGTATTCTTCAGAGTAGTATCTTGAGGAGTGTCCATATGCGTCTGGGCCAATCCACTTAGAATCCTGGACAGAAGTAAATTGAAGCGAGTATGAGCGCAAATGTTTAAGACTGAAGTTTTATAAATGTAATTATTTTATACGATGAAGTCAAAAGAGATTGGATGTCACTTGCGCGGTTTCAGAATTAACCAGACTTGCGAGTCCACGGGATGGCACCGAAGATTTAAAGGTATATGTACGATGTGAATGGGAAATTGGACTGGATTTTAATACGATTAGGAAATATTAGTTCTGACTCAATTTAGAAACAGCGTAAGTGCCGTTAATTTCACGGATAGCTCATATGTGAGCGAATAAAACATAGTAGCTCTGAATGGCAAATTTTAGTCCAATTATTGATTTTATGACCGCTTGGACAACATTTCGGAGGATCATTGCATACCTTTTCTTTTATAACGTTATTTAGAACGATAGCGCCAATTCTGAACGTTGCATGGTAAAAGCTGGGTGCAGATATTTACCAAAGTATTTTGAAAAGTGAAATATCAGCTGATTCGTCCTGCCCTATAAGGTTATGTCTTGAGGGCCTACCAATTCGTTCATGGTTTAGTGATGATCGACCCATTTAGATCTGATAGTGATCATGAAATTACGAAACTGAATATTCTTTCTCAAGTATAGCTCGAATAATATTAGGACATCAATGGTTTAATACCGCCCTTTGTTTTCAAGGCAAAAACCATAATCAATTTTCTCTGAAATATTGGAGGAAAATATTCACAGATTTCCGTGGTAATTGGTGTTTCATCAAGGGAAATTTGGTAACGTCTGGGTTCTGTAAGCTCATGCAGCAAAATCCATCTTGAAAAAATATCGTCTACCTCTGGTCATCAATTATATCTGGACGCTGGCAATAGCTGGCATATCGAGCTATGATTTTCCTTCAATTTCGCGTGATACCACATGCCTACTCCGGAGTGCGTATAGTTGCTCGCTTGGTCTCCGCTTCTTCAAAAGTGAGAAATTACGCGCAATTCATCTCAATTTTTCTGGAAAATGCGCGATTTTTAAAGCGAATGCGTCAAGTGCTTGACGATTGCTCGCTTTTTACCTCAAAGTCCCCAAAAATGCGCCACATTTCCTGCGAATTCGAACAAAACATAAGAATTTACACGATAATCTCCGGAATATAGCGGCAAATACGCCTCTATAAAATCTATGAAGATTACGCGAATCCACATCATATCGCGATATAAACGCAAATTTTCCAGCGGATGATTGAGGACGTTAGCAGACACACACAATTGTCACCTGAATAAGCGTTATATACCTGAACATCGATGATAAAAAGTTGGGGTCCGTTAAGCCCCAAGGGTAGCCCCCTGAAAATGTTGGGGGGTCAAAAAGTAGCTTTCTTTGGCCTAAAAACATCCTTCAAGTTTCAAATCTCTACCTCAATAGGGTAAAAAATTATATACGGGNTATGACTTTCCTTCAATTTCGCACGATACCACATACCGACTCCGGAGGTCGAATAGTTGCTCGCTTGGTCTTCGCTTGTTCAAAAGGGAAAATAACGCGTGATTCATCCAAGTATCGTGAAAAATGCGCTGTTTTCCTAGTGAAACCGTTAATTATCGTAGGATTGCCCGCTTTTCACTTCCATGTTCCCGAAGATGTGCTTCATTTCCTGCGATTTCGAAAAAAAAAATGAGACATTAGGTGATAATCTCCGAGATATCACGGCAAATACTACATTTCTCCGGCGGTTTTGTGAAATTAACAGTGGCGTGGCGTGAATTGCAATACATCGATTGTTGTGCCATTTAAACCCACGAAAAAAGATCGATTATCAGGGGGTTCGCAGCGAACACCTAAGTAATCGATTCTTTACCATAGCTTCAAATGGCGAGATATCGATAATCGATTATTCACGCCACGCCACTGGAAATTAATAAAACTTACGCGCAATTCACAAGGTGGCTGGCCGAATTTCCCTGGCCCGAAGGATTGCCCGCTTTTCACTTCCATTTTCCCGAAAATTCGCCATGTTTCCTGCGATTTCGTACAAATCAGTGCGTGAATGATCGATTTGCGATATTTCCCCATTGGTAGATATGGCAGAGAATCGATTATTTAGGCGTTCAATGCGAACACCCTGCTTGTCGATCTTTTTCAATGGTTTTAAACGGCAGATCAATCGATGCATCGCACAGCGCACCAAGCCACTGGTCGGAGCAGCTAAAGTAGGCAAGTCAAACGTTGGAAAAAGCTCACTTCCGAATAGATGGGCGTTACTGCTCTCGGGTAACACGGCGGCTTTTGATTGGTCGCGCTAAACAGGTCTTCATCGAGCTCTTTGCGGTCATAGGTGAATAAATACGATAGCGACATCACGCGAAAGTAAGATTCTCCCTTGAAAGAACTCAATGAAATCATCATCAAATATACTAATGGAAGATATAAATATTTCATTAGGATAAAATGCTGACTCATTCGAAACAGTGAACGGCACTGATCCGAAAAGAGAGGGTCAATAATAACAGCGCAGATTGAGTTCATTTGTGATAAAACTAGTGACAGTGGGTTTGGAAGCCTTTCGACCGAAGGGAGCCGGGAGCGTTCGTCAACTTATGGCCGGGAAGCGTAAATTGACCAATCAAGAAGCAGCAAAATATTCCTGTGCTAAGAAATAAGTGACCAGTCCATCCCTGCATAGGTACAAAAGGATGAAACTCATCCTTTCAATCGCCTTTTGAGAAAAGAAGAAAAAATCATTCTCCTTCGGAAAATACACAATCACAACTTCTCATGTTGAACTTGTATATCGGTAATATTACGATACACTCAGTTAAACAGCTTTATTAACAAGAATTTAAGGTATGGTGTATTGATTTCGGTTTGAATGATTACATTTTCACCCTGATCCAGAGACCATTCAGCTCCTGCATTGGAGTGGGAATGTCAGACGGCTAAAGAGACGTAAGCCACATGAGCTGACCTCAGCTCTGTTTCATCGAAAATAACGGAAAGTAATCGTGCCATCCTAATTTAGCCAGTCTATGCTAACTGAAGGAATTAGAATATTCCTAAGCATGAGGTACATATTATTAAAGGGTGTTCTTTTCATTGTTATGTATGTACATAGTTGTCCCACTAATAATTGTAAGTTTCCCCCGTTTACCATAGTTACAATAATTCTTCTGTCCTTCTATATCTTGTTTCGAGTTCCTATTTCAAAATCTTCAAAATTTCCTAGATTTGACTTGTAAAGTAAAACGTTTATTCACCGTTCACAACAGCAATTTAAAGCTGGCAAAATAAGTGAAATCTTCAGCGTCTTAAAATCTTAGTGGAACCATTAGTTACATTTAATTAATTCATGTTAAAAAAGACTACGGCAGGCTAGAAATACGTATGTATGTAAATTTGTTCAATTATTACTTTACAATAAAAAAATAAATAAAAAAGTTTAATGATACGAGAAGTGTTCAATAAATAAAGGGCCATTTTAAATTAATATATTTTATTACTAAAGAGTTCTTATTTCAAGACACTATTTTGGAAAGGAAATACCAATAACCATTGACAAATTATTTACTGTACTGAATGGATTTTAATTTGAATGATGATACGAGATGTGTTCGTTAAATAAAGGGCCGTTTTATATTGATAAGTTTTATTTCATAGATTTAATTTCAAGACACTATTCTGAAAAGAAGACACAATTTAACATTTCAAAATAGTTCAAAAGACTGCCTGGATTTGGCAGTGATGAAAGGGTATGCTTCCGCGAGTGTTTTGGAGTTCACTATTAGGCGTTTGAAAGGGAGCGACGCAGAGCATGGACAAGTTTTTAACGTGCGTACGTTAACGCGCAGAGTACGTACGTTAACACGCAGAGTACGTTAACGTACGGAGCATGGACAAGTTTTTAACGTGCGTACGTTTAACGTTTTTAAGTTTTTAATGTGCTTTCGGATTAGTCGCATAAAATTGACGAAGGGAGCAAAAGACGAAGATCATAGACTGGAGCTGAATTATTTTTCAACGGAGTGCTTCCGATGCTTGTCACATACTTTTTTAGCATGTACTCAGTCATGTACTTTTAAAGTATGTTTCCGGCTAAAAGAGGAAGAGCAATGACTGCAGCTGAAAGGTTTCTCGCCGGTATGCGTTCGAATATGCTCCTTTAAAGCATTCCTATGTCTAAAAGAGGCTGAGCAATGACTGCAGCTGAAAGGTTTCTCGCCAGTATGCATTTGAATATGCACCTTTAAATTACTTCTTTGACTGAAGGAGGTGGAGCAATGACCGCAGCTGAAAGGTTTCTCGCCAGTATGCATTCGAATATGCTCCTTCAAAGTTTTTCCATGTTTAAAAGAGGAAGAGCAATGACTACAGCTAAAAGGTTTCTCGCCAGTATGCGTATGAATATGCTCCTTTAAAGCACTTCTGTGACGGAAGGAGGAAGAGCAATGACTGCAAATGAATGGTTTCTCGCCAGTGTGCTTTCGAATATGTACCTTCAAATTATCTTTGCGGCTAAAAGAAGAAGAGCAATGACTGCAGCTGAAAGGTTTCTCGCCGGTATGCGTTTGCATATGCTGCTTTAAAGTATTTCTACGTCCAAAAGAGGAAGAGCAATGACTACAGCTGAAAGGTTTCTCGCTAGTATGCGTTCGAATATGTTCATTTAAATGGTGTTTTTGCCTAAAGGAGGTAGAGAAATGACTGCACCTGAAAGGTTTCTCGCCAGTATGCGTTCGCATATGCTCCTTTAAAGCATTTCTATGTCTAAAAGAGGATGAGCAATGACCGCAACTTAACGGTTTCTCGCCATTTTGCGTCCGCATACGTTGTTTTGGAAGGTTTTCAGACGAGCAAGATACAGAACGTTGGGTGATTTTGACTGGTTTGTAACGGATTTCAGTTCTTTCGGTCGGAAATACTTTCCATTCAATAGGAGGCTCGTTGAACTGTTTGCTTTTACATGCTTTTTCATTAGATTCCAAGTTAATTCCATGGAGATCTTGCAGTTGGTGGGGAGGTTGACCATTAATGCAACCACTTCCAGCAGTTGGAGTCAGTGAAACATGTTTCAAAGTATGAGGCGAACCATTTCCGGAATCTTTTGCGTTGTCTTTTTCTGGGCATTCCGATTGGTCGGATTGCGAAGTGTCTTCTTCCTTAATTTCAATACTGGTATGCAAGAGGTCGGATAAACTTTCGGCTGCTTCGACTTTTACGCGAGCGGAAAGACCGAACAGAGAATCGCCTTGGAGCGGTCCAGGTGAGATAACACCATCACATGAAGAAGATCCGTTCTCTCCTTTCACACGCTGGGGGACAAGATCGGCGTGGTCATCGCCAAATGCCGATTTCGTATCCGACACTGATGATTCATGCTTGAAAGTACCTGCGTACGTTACTTCGGGGACGTTATCCAGTTCCATCACGCGTGGTGTGTGTGCTTCAAAGTAGTATCTTGAGGAGTGTCCATATGCGTCTGGGCCAATCCAATTAGAATCGTGGACAGAAGTAAATTGAAGCGAGGGTGAGCGCAGATGTTTAAGACTGAACTTTTATAACTGTAATAATTTTACAAGATGAAGTCAAAAGAAATTGGATGTCACTTGCGCGGTTTCAGAATGAACCAGACTTGCGAGTCCACGGGATTGCACCGAAGATTTAAACGTATATGTACGATGCGGTTGGGAAATTGCACTGGATTTTACTACGATTGGGAAATATTAGTTCTGACTCAATTTAGAAGCAGCGTGGGTAAGTGCCGGTATCTTCAATGATAGCTCATGTGTGAGCGAATAAAAATTAGTAGCTCTGAATGGCAAATTTTAATCAAATTATTGATTTTATTACCGCTTGGACAACATTTCGGAGGATCATTGCATACCCTTTCTTTTATAACGTTATTCAGAGCAATAACGTCAATTCTGAACGTTGCATAATAAAGTATGGTGCGGATATGTACCAAAGTATTTTGAAAAGTGAAAAATCAGCAAATTCGTCCTGCCTTATAAAGTTGTCTTTCAGGGCCTACCAGCCTACTCCCACTGAACTCCTACTCCTCAAATTTTTCCGAGAGAAAATACGAAGAAGTTTCCACCCGTAATTTTCGGTCATACTCCTGAATTTTATTTCAAATACAATCTCTATATAATATCGAGGAAAAATCTTCTTGTGTATTTCGGAGGTGGCATAATTTATTGGGGGAAACTCGGCAACGTCCGATTCGTCGTGTGACATTTTTCCTGAGGAAGTCAGACTTGAACCGATGTTCCTCCCGTCCATATTCTCTCGCCCCTTCCCCTCCCATCAATTTTCCTTTCACCTCTCGGATGTTTATTCCCGTATTCTGAGATGATGATTGTGAAAATAAGAGGTTTATGGTAAATGACAGAAGCGAGGCACGAAACATCGACCTTCAACTTCTCCGATTCAATGCTATGCTTAAGAATCGATAACTGAGGTGTTTGTTGTGATTCCCAACATCCTGATAATAGGTCCTTTTCTATAGAGTTACACGGTAGATCACAAAATTCCTCGCGAAACGCAATACGCCACTGTTATTGGAGTATTTTAAATGCAACGAATGATCAGTCGCCGATTTGCAGAGCACTTGTCTTTTCCCCGCGGTTAAAAATCATATTAATGATTGCAAGACAACAAAACACAGTTCGACAAAACCGCTATGCAAAGCTAGATCGCTATGGCCAGTGGCGATTTTGGAAGTTGGCAACACTTTTTCCCCTCCATTTAAATCCATTACGGATATGGATTCCGGGTAAGACAAGCTGGCTAACCAAGAATGGATTGTTTTGAATTCATTTAAAGGTAGGAAAAAGGCTTGCCGACTTTCAAGAATCTCCACTTGCTCTTTTCATGGCTTGGAGGCCAAGAAACGAAGCACGACGGAGAATCAGATAGAGTCGCCGAGGTCAATTTTCCATGATGGCGACGAGCGCGTAAGCGTATGAAGTTTCGAGAGAAAGGGCTCAGTGCTCAGTACATGAAGTATCAGTGGAAAAATTGTATTACCCAAAATTAGCTCGTAAAAGAGAAATGGAAGATCGCAATTTACATTAGGGCTGGAGCGAAGTCAGAGCACCTTCAGTATTCCTTGTATGCAAAGCGTGCATCCGCAGAACAAGACAAAATGTATCCAGGCGCTGTGTTGTGATCAAAATCTGATGGACCACAAGACACGTATGAGAACTCGTATTAAAAAAAATCCAAAACGAGCGATTATCTCCGCACACTGAAAAAAAATTACACGACTTATAAACCAATTAGTGGTTCATATGGACCACCACGTATAGTAGTAAAGGCAACATATATTGATAGCACAAATACCTCAGTGATGGTATATCTACATTAGTATGGATCACAGACTGAGAATCATTGGTTCATTTACGACTTTTAGTGGTGTGCCATATGAGCCACTAATTAGTTTATAAAGCCATAGGTTTCCTCTGTGCCATACCGCGGGAAATACGCCATTTCTCCAGCGGTTTTGTAAGTTCAATAGAAGTTGCGCGTGCCCCTCAGATCGCCACACAAACGCAAATTATCCGGCGGCGGATTATTAACAACGTGGACGACCACACAATCGTCACCTCAATATCAGTGGCGTGGCGTGAATTGCGATGTACCGATTGTTATATCATTTAAACCCATGACTAAGAATCGATTATTAAGGTGTTCGCTGCGAACACCCTGTTCATCGATCCTTTTCCATAAGTTTAAATGGCCGATCTGTTAATATATCGCAAAGCACGCCACGCCACAGCTCAATATCGCGAAATTCACATTTATGCGAGCATAGAATTCATAACGTCCGTAATTTGTGATAGGCAAAGAGCTATGATTTTCCTTCAATTTCGCATGATACCACATACCTACTCCGGAGGTCGAATAGTTGCTCGCTTGGTCTCCGCTCGTTCAAAAGTGAAAAATAACGCGTGATTTATCCAAGGATCGTGGAAAATGCGCTGTTCTCCTAGTGGAACCGTTAATTCCCGAAGGATTGCCCGCTTTTCATTTCCATGTTCCCAAAAATGTGCTTTACTTCCTGCGATTTCGAAAAAAAATGAGACATTACGCGATAACCTCTGGGATATCACGGCAGATACGACATTACTTTCTCCGGCGGTTTTGTGACATCAATAGAAATTACGCGCAATTCACAGGGTGGCTGACAGAATTTCATTGTATCATTCCCTGATTCTTCTCTGACCAAGAAGTCTTCTGGTGCCTGGTCGTCAAAATCCTTGCTTCTTGCGTAAATTTGTCTTACTTTTCTAAATTTCTTTTTTGGCGATCCTCAAAAATCTATGCTTTATCCTTGTCCATCCCTGACCTAACAATCACTTTTAACTGTATTCGGATTGGAAAAGAGGAATAATGGAATGACAAAGGAACGCGCCGAAAAATACGAGGAATCGAACCGGGAACTTAATGAAAAGATTGTTTCAGAAAATTGCATACCCGCAAAGCTATCTTTCAGAGTTCATCACAAACATATTGAATTTCCGTACCTTCTCATGCCAGAATCGCACGCTGGATCTGGCAGCTGACGGCTGAAATGCCTCAAAGTCGAGTAATGTTCATCCAGATTTGTGTCAAATCGATTCAGATCGTTCGGACAGATCCGCGAGGTTCCAATGGTCGCCGAGCCTCGTTACTGAATGTTGCGCGACACGCGCTAAACTCAGGTATCGGGCCGACGACTTCTACATTCAAGTCACATTCAGCTCCAACATTTAGCGTGTGATTCCGGCATCACCGAAAATCCGTACCCTTTCCGTACTTCCGTGCCTATAACTTCCGAAATCCGTGCTTTTTGACTCTATCAGTGCTTTTTCCGTACACTGAGTGGTGGCTCTCACATAGGTTCCGTTTTTAAACGATTAAGAAGTATTATGCTGCTTTACCTGTTTCGATGATTCTATCTACAAGATATTCGAGGAATTTTTAAGGAAATTCAATTACGAAAATGTTAGAGGAACGGCACCGGAAGAAAAAACACATTGGATTAAGAGTTCAGACTCTTAAAAACATCGACAAGAAAAAGTACTCTTGATTCAATCAGAATCTAGCTTAAATCAAGAACCAAGCCTCTTAATTTAAGCGGATTTCGTTTTGATTCAAGCAAAAATCCGATAGAATCAAGAGTATTTTTTCTTGTCAATGTTTTCAAGAGTCAGGACTCTACATCCAATGTGTTTTTATTTCCCGTGGGGACTCTCTACGATATAAAGGCAGAAATGCTCTCTTATGAAATTTTCACTCGTAACACGCTGGACACTTCCAAATATTTCAAAATTAACTCATAGGTGTGAAATAGTTTATGGCTCACATCAGCCTCAGGAAAAGTCAGAGTGCCTTCAGAATTCCGTGTATGCAACGCGTGCATCCGCAGAACAAGACTAGTTACATCCAGGCATTATGATCAAAATCCGCTGGACCTGAAGACGTGTCGGGTATTAGACATCGTAAAGACATGTTTCCTCGCCAAACAGTCAACAAAGGACGCCATTCTACCTAAAAGGACTGCTCTCGTTGGATCTCTGGAATGATGCTCCTTATGGCTATTTTGTCTCAAACAACGTCAACTTTTGCGCACTTACGGCTTCCTCATGTGCCTCCATTCTAAACGAAGAAGACGAATGCCGTAATTTCAGCAGCATCAGTAATTTTATCTCAATTAGATAAGACGAATTAAAGAAGAAACTGGAGTTCGAAAATTTGCGAATTACTGCTCTGTTCGCTATCACGGTAGCAGAGTGCCCTTAATGTAACGAGTATGGCTATGTCCGTAATCGCCGTGCTACCGACGAGTGCAGTGAAATGAAGTTATGAGAAAATTGTCCAAGTACAACGTTGACAGTTAGTGCTGAACGATCAACTCTATTCACCATGATCCGGAAGTCTCTCATTGGTATGTATTCGCAAGTGTTTCGAGCGCATAGAGCGTTTGGCAGCTAACGACGCAGAGCAAGGGCCGGGTTTTCACCATATGCTTTAGATTTTTTTTTGTAAGGGTATTTTAATCATAAAATACCCTTGAATAAATGAATTTCTAGCGACTGATGATAAAATAAAATTCTTGTAATTGCTTCTATTTAATGTTACATTATACAATTTAAAGTTATAATCGTTCCTAATTAACATTATTAGTTACTAATCTTCTACATGATAACGAGGAAATTAGAAGACACACAAGGAAGAAGCCATGGGAGCTTGTCACCAACGCTGATTCTGACTATTAAGAGTTAATAATACTCACTACATTTGAATTTCACTTATTTCATCCACCTAATCCTTATGAGTCCCGATTAATCTTAAAATCAAGTCATAAGTTTAACTATACCTAATTATTAAAGAAATTAGTAACTACACAGTTCTTACTTTTATATACCCTTATGTACATACATTAAGATAATTGTATATATTTCCTCCTAGAAATGTTACAAAAAAAACCTTACTAATAATAATTCATTAAAGTAACTAATACTACAGTGTACATCAATGTTACATTAGACAATTTAAAGTTAATCGTTCCCAATTAAAATTATTAGTTACTAATAATAGTTCATT